TTTGATCCTGCCCCAAATTAAAGGGGAAATTTTGAGTGTTTTCACATTTTCACCTCCGTTCTCAGCAGGTTTGGGAGGAAGGATTTCATCCTGCCCCAAATTAAATGGAGTTTTTGAGTATTTTCACATTTTCACCTCTGTTCCCAGCAGGTTTGGGAGGAGGGGTTTGATCCTGCCCCAAATTAAAGGGAATTTTTGGGTGTTTTCACGTTTTCACCTCTGCCCTGACCTGCTCCTCTCCCGGGACAGGATCCTGGGCTTTGCAGATCCCAAACATTCCCAAGGGCTGGATACTGCAGGGATTTCATTGCAGGGAGAATTCATTCCCTGCCTGGAGCTGGGAGAGCAGGAAAATGCCCAGGGGCAGTGGGGGATGGAGCCAGGAACCCCAAAAATAAACCAGGAATGGGATGGATCCAGGTATCCCAAATAAACCAGGACTGGGATGGAGCCAGGAACCCCAAAAAATAAACCAGGACTGGGATGGATCCAGGAATCCCAAATAATAAACCAGGACTGGGATGGAGCCAGGAATCCCAAATAATAAACCAGGAATGGGATGGATCCAGGTATCCCAAATAAACCAGGACTGGGATGGAGCCAGGAACCCCAAAAAATAAACCAGGACTGGGATGGACTCAGTAATCCCAAAAAACACACCAGGACTGGGATGTACCCAGGAACCCCAAATAATAAACCAGGAATGGGATGAACCCAGGAATCACAAATAATGAACCAGGACTGGGATGGACTCAGGAATCCCAAAACTAAACCAGAACTGGGCTGGATCCAGGAATCCCAGATAAACCAGGACTGGGATGGAGCCTGGAATCCCAGATAAACCAGGAGCGGGCTGGATCCAGGAATCCCAAATATTAAACCAGGACTGGGATGGATTGAGGTATCCCAGATAAACCAGGACTGGGCTGGATCCAGGAATCCCAGATAAACCAGGAGCGGACTGGATCCAGGAATCCCAACTAAACCAGGACTGGGCTGGATCCAGGAATCCCAACTAAACCAAGACTGGGCTGGATCCAGGAATCCCAGCTAAACCAGGAGCGGGCTGGATCCAGGAATCCCAGATAAACCAGGAGTGGGCTGGATCCAGGAATCCCAGATAAACCAGGACTGTGCTGGATCCAGGAATCCCAGATAAACCAGGAGTGGGCTGGAAGGCCCCAGGAGAGGTTGGCCCAGCCTGCAGCTCCACGGAGCCCTTTGTGCTGCTCAGAGAAGGGAATTTCCCTCCCGAGCCCCAAGCTGAGCCCCCCACGGCCCTTTGCGTGATCCCGAGATCCAAATCCACCCACCGGAGGAGACGGAGCCCCAAAATTCCCCCGGGAGATCCGAAGGGCGCCCTGATCCCTCCATCCCATCCCATCCCAACCCTGGG